ACAGATGCAGCACACTGCTGGCTCATATTGATGCCAACCCTTATATATGTCCTAATCATAAAAAAAGGAGGGAAGGGCAGAGAAAGACCAGACAGTTTCCTATATTATACTATCCAGGTTCAGAGGAGTTGGTCAGCTTGTTCAGGAAAATGATTAAGGAGAAACAATGGATGCCACTGCTCCAAGCTAGTCTAGATCTCTTTCAACTGTTCTTACTTCCTAAACAAGAATCTTTGGTTTTTCTGCATTAGATGTCACCTGGCCCAAATCCTGTGTACCTTTTGAGCTGAGAGGATCACCAGGAAGGTGGGGTCTAGGAATCCGTGGACACAGTCAGTGTTGCATTTTGCATTTACGTGCCTGGCACTGAAAGATCTATTGTAGGTAAATGCTGTGGAAGGAGTTGTTGATAATGAAGTCAGAGCCCGTAAAACATGATTTTATAGGGAAGTAAAATGAAAGTCCCACATTGTTCCTGTGTATGTCAGTGTGTAAATTACCATTCCGATGACCTTCATCCAACAGAGAAATGACAGGGCGTGGGAGAAGGGAAGAGAAGAGAGGAAGAGAAAGAGTAGTTGGAAGGACAGGACAACAGTTCCAGATGGAGGATGGAAATTGTATTCTGCCTTTCAGAAGTGATCCTTGCAGCTTCTGCTACCAATAAAGTAATCTTAATAATGACACCTTAGGTACCACACTGCACTGGGGAAAGCTGAGTGTAGATAGCAGGCCCTTTGCTATGCTTTTTCACCTGTCCTGGAGCAGAAATCAGCAACAAGCTGGTGACGAAGCCTGTCATAAACAATCGTCAACAGGGAATAGAGAGGGAGAAAAGCAAAGCAGAAAGAAATAAGAGGCTGAGCGCAGCAGTGTTCACTAGTGGGTGAGATGATTAACGATTAACCCCCCTTGCCTCCTGCCTCCACCCATTTGGGTAGTATAGGCCTTGAAGTGCAGCAGATTCTTTCAGAGAAATATCTGAAATAAAGGCCAACAGATAGGGGACGCCGGCAAAATCAGTTGGAGAGTTGAGGGGGCCAATAACCTCTGGCTGTGGAATCACTGCAATCTGGCCCGTGTTTGCAGATGATAATGCGCCTTTCCAAAGCCCTGATAGACATGGAGATGGCAGATTACAGTGCAGCTTTAGATCCTGCATATACGACATTGGAGTTTGAGAACATGCAAGTCTTGGCAATGGGCAGTGGTAAGTCCATTTCAGAATGTTGTTTTTCTCTATCAAAGCTGGTTGGGGTCGGGACAGGAAAGATTCAGAAGTCAATTTATTTTTTTACAGCAGCCAGATAATGCGGAGCAAACATGATTACAGTATGCTTAGTTCCATCCTCCACCTATGTAAAAGCCTGGCGGTGGAGGAGGTTTTGGTCCTCCAGGCACAAATATTTTCCCCAAAAGATTTTGTCTGGGTCTCTACTTGGTTTAATCAGCTGACATTTCACAGGACAGTTGCGGTATAGGAATCAAAGCCCTATTATTGTTTTTTCTTGCAATATACACAAAATTGGCTGGGGGAAACATAGGAAGAAGCCCCAGAAAGAAGCAGGGTTGGGAAGTATACAAGGAAAATAAATGAAATGGGTTGGTTGTTCCCGTAGGAGTAGGTTTTAAAAGAAGGAATGCAACACCTAACTTTTTATTGTTCAAAAAGTAGTTGGAGTTCAAGGGCCTATCAGGAAATGAAATTATTTTTTTGGTAGAGTTATACCAATGAAAAGTCTTCATATTGTCCGTGCAATAATAATCTGCAGTTAGAGTGAAGCATAATACTATGCGTTCGTATTTGTGAATAAGACTCCATAAATATAATTGATTCTAAATTATGTTTAGAATTATAATTGATATAATTCTAAATGTGTACACAATCCCACACATGGAATTGTGGTGAAATATGATTATGATTATTGCCTTTATTACTATTATCATTTCATGCAGTAGTGTAGCTGAATAATTTAGAAAATATTTTCTATTGTCTTCGTATGACACTTTCACACTTCATGTAGAATTTTACAAGAAGTTATCATTACTACTTCTATTATGATTAGTTACAAGCTCAGTCTGTTTTCTCATATTATGCATTTTTTTGCTTAAAAGCTGTGGTCTTTCCCTTGATCCTTTTCTTTATTTTAAAGAAGCCTCAATGAGTCTGATAGCTTCAGTGGCATTCATTGAAATTCAGAACTTTCTACCATGCTATGAAATAAAAAAAATGGGCTAGTTTATAATATTTTTTTTCTTGTTTTTAGAGAGATGTATTCTACGTTTTCTGGAAATCGTACCTGATTTCCTTACTGTCATACAACGTTTTAGGACATCTTAAATGGAAATACAGTTGTATGGCTGAACATAAATATGTAACTATGGAAGATGTTCTAGGGAGAACCACAAAGGCATTCCCAGCTTCCTCTCAAAACTACAATTCCCAGTCTTCTTTAGAGAGTATCTATTGAAGGTTTAGTGATCATTGTCTCAATCTTTTATTTGGAATATTACTGCCAATTTTTCACTCTTACATTTTTGAAATATCTAACTCTAAGTATTAACATTATAAGCTAATGTTTAAAATCTAATAATTAAGATAGGTGACTAAAATGAAAGTTATGTTTCTGAAAGGTTGTATGCACAACGTAGCTCTCCAAACTACTAAAAATTAATAATGAATGAGTATTCAGCATGTTCAATTTTTTCTCCCTTTACTCATGGTGAGATTTTTACAACTTTTTGTACAGTAGCTTGAATACAGTATCTAGGGTCACCACATCATTTGCATTGACATTTGGGTGTGGCTGTTACTGACACCTGCTGGAAAATGACTGAAGTGGGGAAGAGTCCTCTCTACATAAATATATCTTGCACCCTGCTTTTAATTTTGTAAAACTTTACCAAACTATTAAAGGATATTAACTGCACAATCCTATTACAATCTGAATATGTGTAACTGCTAAAAAGATAAATGCAATTATAGATGCATATAATTATAATGTATACATGCATCCACCCAATCAATCAGAATACAGCTGGAAGGGACTTTGGAGGTTTTCTAGTCCAACCCCTTGCTCAAGCAGGAGTCCCTACACCACTCCAGACAAGTGACTGTCCAGTCACTTCTTAAAAACCTCCAGTGATGATACACCTGCAACTTCTGAGGGAAAGCTGTTCCACTGGTTAATTGTCCTCACTGTTAGGAAGTTTCTCATTAGTTCCAGGTTGCTTCTCTCCTTGATTAGTTTCCATTCATTGTTTCTTGTCCTGCCTACAGGTGCTTTGGTAAATATGTTTGACCCCTTCTTTTTTGTGGCAGCCCCTCAAATACTGGAATACTGTAATCATGTCAACCCTAGTCCTTTTTTTCTTTAGACTAGCCAAACCCAAATCCTGCAACCGTGCTTCATATGTTTTAGTCTCCAGGCCTTTAATCATCTTTGTTTCCATTGAAACTAATCCATTGAAATGTAATTTTCAAGTCAAAGGAAACAATAATTCTTCTATTGTCTACATTGGTCAGACTCCCCTCTGTTCATTTGTGATTACTGTGTTTTAAGGAAGATTCATAGAAACTGCAAAAAGCAAAGTAAAAAAGCAGATAGAGATGATCAAATAAAATTCTTATGAGAATGGGCTTAGGAAAATGGGTATCTTTAATCTTGAAAATACAAAGGTATTGGGAAAAGGAGGTGTTGGGATACAATACAAGTAATCGTCGACTTACAACCACAATTGACCCCAAAATTTCTGTTGCCAAGTGAGACATTTGTTAAGCGAGTTTTGCCTCATTTTACGACTTTTCTTGCCACAGTTGTTAAGTGAATCACTGCAGTTGATAAGTTAGTAACATGTTTGTTAAGTGAATCTGGCTTCCCCATTGACTTTGCTTGTCAGAAGTTTGCAAAAGATGATCACATGACCCTAGGACACTGCAGCCATTATAAATATGAGTCAGTTGCTAAGAGTCTGAATTATGATCATGTGACCATGGGGCTGCTGCAATGGTCATAAGTGTGAAAAACAGTCATAAGCCACTTTTTCAAGTGATGTAACTTCAAATGGTCACTAAATGACCTGTTGAAAGTCAAGAACTACTTGTAATCCTTTCCAGGTTCTTGAAGAAATATCATATCAACATTCTTGACTTTGTCATCTAGGAGTCTGGGACACAGAATAACAGTCTTAAATTACAGAATGGTGCATTCCAGTTGAATGTGAAGAGAAACTTCATCAGAGTAAAAGAGTTCAACTGTGCAGCCAATCACCAAGGCCACTCTGTAAGAATTTGCCAGTTGACTAATGCATGCAGATAAATGCATAAATACGACAACAACTTTCCCAAGAACTGATCACAAAGCACTGATCTCACCAGGGAGAGTCTGCAAAATAACAATCTATTTGATTTATGATACAATGAGCTCTTTATCTTGTTTTCTTTCCCTTTACACCTATCATTTAATTACTTGGTACAATTTGCTGTACAGCATAGCTGCTTGGTTATATAAGTGACCAAAGAAATGCCAAGCTATTATCAGATCTTTATCATCTTTTTTTTCCACTGCCTTCTTCATTTTGTAGTTTCACATTTTCTATCAGAATTTCCCTTTTCTCTTGGAGATGTTTGCTGGACAATTAGGATCAGTTGGTACAAAGAAGGAATAATTACATAACTCTTTAAATTTTTTATTGCGAAATATTGTGAAAAAGTATGCAGTAATCAAATGTGCACACTCATCATTGCTAGCAGCATCACCCATTAACCTACTTTGCTTGCTATTCCAGAAGAGCAGAAGGTAATTTTATGGATAGGAATCCATACTACTAATAATAATAGAGTTGGAAGGGACCTTGGAGGTCTTCTAGTCCAATCCCCTGCTCAGGCAGGAAACCCTATACCATTTCAAACAAATGATTGTCCAGTCTCTTCTTAAAAACTTCCAGAGTTGGAGCATTCACAGCTTCAGGAGGCAGGTTGTTCCACTGATTAATTGTTCTAACTGTCAGGACATTTCTCCTTAGTTCCAAGTTGCTTCTCTCTTTGATTAGTTTCCATCCATGGCTTCCATCCAATGTGCAAGTGAATAAAAAATATGTTTGCAGTGGAAAGGGAAGTTCTGAATTACAAACCCAACACATATAGAGAAATAGTCTTCTAGGAAAATAGTCTTTAAGGAAAATACAAATAGGTCACGTAAGAAGATAATCCTTACTCCATTATATTTATTCACTAATGTCAATGCTTTTTAAACTTTTTCAGAACAACTTCTGAAAGTCTTGGATTAGCTAGCATCTTGGCTAGCAGAAACCCAAACACAGTTGAGAAAATCATGGATGAGTTATTAAGATTGATATTGTTGATTATTTATGGCATCATTAATGTACATGAGGAAGGAGATTATTTGGATGTCTGGCAATCAGGCTTAGGATTCAGTAAAGAAATCAGTCATGCTTGTAAATGATCTTTTGAGATACTGGAATTGGAGGAGTGCAATCCTCCTGGTTCTCCTTGATCTCTTGGAGGCTTTCAATATCATTGACCCTGGTGTCTTTCAGGACCATCTTTGAAAGACTAGAGGGCAATGTTCTATAATGTTGCTTCTCCTTCTTGAACGGTTGGTTGGTTTCAGAGCATTTGAAAGAGTCTTGCTGATAATGTTTGTGGTGGCCCAGGCAGTGACAGGTGTATCTCCCTACACTTAGTTGGCCCTCCTGGTTTAGGAATCAACTTAGATTGTATCGTTACTTTTCATGGGAACAGGCTAAACCCTGGAAGAGGAAGTTCCTGGTTAGGGTTTATCTATGTTACTAATTTCTCTCTCGCCCCCTCTCCTCCACCCATACTATCAAAACAGAGTACTGACTCACTTTGCAAGGCACTTGGAACAATGTAAATGAAATTTTTTCAATGCTCAAAAAACATTGAATGAATGTGTTATATACACAATGTGACTTTAAGCCTAAAATGAGATCCTAAAGGAAGCTTCCACTATAAAAATATAGTTTTATATATATACGTATTTTAAATATAGGTTGGGTCTTGGAACCATAACAGCCTCAGTCACCTTGTTAGATGTTTCATGCTGGAAACTTGGCAGAAGGTGCATGTCTCTTAATTTTGCTAACCACTTAGCTGCTTTCAGCATTGTTGACGATGCTATCCTATATTATTTGGTCAATATGGAATGGAAATTTCTGATGGGTTTAACTCATAAAGTTATGGTAGAAGACTATTGCTTAACCCCTTGATGTATGCAGTTCCTCAATATTGTGTTCTTTAGTTTTGACATGGAACTACTATGTTAATAGTAGTCTGGTTCTATGTTAATAGTATCCAACTCTGTCTCTTTTTTCAAATAATGGCAAGGGGATTGAGGAAATGCTCAAACATTATCTGATCACAGTAAAGAACTGCTTGAGGGTGAACAACCTGAGGTTCGGTACAGACTGCATATTAGTCAACTGGCATCTCAGGATTTGGGACCGTGCCTCTTCTGGGTAACAGCATTTGTGTGAACAGACTAAGGTTTAAAACTTGGCACCAAGTTTGCTTTTGTAAAATACTGTGGTGGTAACAATAATCAGGAGTACTGCTGCTGATGAAGCAATTGCATCTCTTTTTGGAGAAAGAGAACAGTTCTAACTTCAGTGATTCAGAGCTTATTACGTGTTTAGATTTCTGTTTGAAAATTACAGCTATCATCAAATGTTCAGTAGTATTGTTAGTCATGTATTTTACATACTGTTTAACACTGAAATAATTGAATTGGCTTCCATTTTATTTCTAAACCTAATGTTTAGAAGTGTTGATTATTTCCTAAAAGCCCCAAATGTCTTGGGAGAAAAGCACATGTGAGTGATCTCTTTTTTCCATATGAAACAGCCTATGATTTGCAGTTCAGTTGCTTATTCCACTATCTAAAAAAGAGTGGATTTGTACAAAACTACAAGGTAAAATGCCTAGGCACTAAAGAGCAAAAATGCAAACTCAAATATCTTTATTACTACAGCAGAATTATAAAAAAGCCAGGAAGAGGAAATAAATGTTTCCAACATATTTTATAACACAAATAAATATTTGTAAAAGTGGCATTCACTATAAATATGCCTGTGGATCAAATCAAAATCCCTGAACAAGGTGACTAAAAACATCTCATAAACATCTGAGACTCACTACGTATGGAAATATAAATGAGTTGGATGAATACTCAAAGAATAACCATCTATATAGCAGCAACAGTTGTAAAGAGATTAAGTAAATTCCATCATCTTTTATTGGTTAATGTTATTGGTTAATGTTACTCTACTTTATTGTATTAAAGCTCTCTCTCCTTTTTGTTTCTGTTTTTAATTGATATATTTATTTTTATCTTGTTGGGCATTCATTTTAATTGTACACTGCTTTCTGAGCACTGAGCAAAAGGATTATGCATAAATATAAGAGATTAGTCAACATTATTTATGATTGCATTGTTGACCTAGTTTGAATCTCAACATTGTCACTCTTTTGTTCCAGAATATTTTATCTGCACGTGGGGACAGATTTTTTTCTCCCCATTGGAAAGTGCCTCTCATGCCTCTGTTTCCTAGCTTGCATTTCATACACACAGCAGACTGGAGAGGAGCCCCCAAATGGAGTTTTGATTACTTTCAAGATTGGCTGTATAGCACAGGATTTGCTTATCTGATGTCATGTTGAAAGGAAGGGCTTTGAAGCTTCTTTATTTTGATAATAGTTAACAAACTTCACAGGCTTACTGACTGGTGCCATGGTGAAAGGAAGGCTCCTTGTAATCACATTAAATTGGCAACTGCCCCTACAAATGATCCCATAGCCTGTCAGGAAGAATGCTTCTGCAGAATGCACATCAATACAGGTGGACAAATTCCTACACCACATTTTGGGGCAAGAATTGTTAGAAATTTTTCTTTCCCTCATGCCTGCTCCACATCCTTTCTTGAAAAAGAAGGGGTGGCTATTACTTTATAGAGTTTAGAAGCTGGAGTTGTTCTTACATTTGAAGTGAAATAAGTGAAAGCTGATTGATTTGTGTTCTCTGTGTTCAGCATTTGACTACCTGGGGTTAAATAATGATTGGCTGAAGCTGCTTTTTGTCGACTATAGACTTACAAAGTGTGGGGACTCAAGGGTATATGCTGTCCCTAGGCCACATTGACTGATGGGGCAACCTCTCATTGATGTGAAGGTTTGCATTTTTAGAATGATTCAGAAGGAGGATTGGCGCCCTGAGCCTTAGTTTAAAGCAGGGATCCCTAACCCCTGATCCATGGACTGGCACCATGCTGCAGCATGCCAGAAATTGGGCTGCACAAACAAGCAAAACTCCATCTGGGAGATGCAGGCAACAAACCTCCCACCACAGCACCAGTCCCTGAGGCCTAAAAGATTGGGGGTCACTGGTCTATAGCATATGTTTGCAAGCATATAGATAATATTCGTTTGAATGAATACAATATTTGATTTGCAGATGGTGAATACAAAATGAGGAAAATGCAGGTTTGATTTAATATGCATTAGGACAATGTGCTGGAAAACTGAATGGATCAGACAGCTTCTTAAAGCTGCTGGTTTTATATGAACTCGTATACCCCTAGTGATTTCTTGATTTAGTGTGTGTTCATGATTGCTTCCTACATATCTTCTTACACAGACACTTCCCCATCTGATGTTACAAATCTTAATGCTTCTAACAACATTGGAGCCAGTGTGTTATGTGCCATTTGTGGAGATCGTGCTACAGGGAAGCATTACGGAGCATCCAGTTGTGATGGCTGCAAAGGGTTCTTCAGAAGAAGTGTCAGGAAGAACCATATGTATTCTTGCAGGTAAGGAGGGCAGAGTGAACAGAAAGTTTACTAAAATGATAAAATAAATTGCTAACATTTCAAGGGTAACAAGGCACATTTTATGAGGTATTCTTTCCTGAATCAAGAACTATATCAAAGAGAAGGAAGGGAAAGAAGTAAATTCATTTAACTTGGAGAATAGAAGAAAAAGGAATTGAGAGCATGATGTCATCCTTCAAGAACATTAAGTGTGATCCTATAAAAAAAAAGACCAAAAGATTGTTTTCAGTTGTTTTAAATTGATAAGTTTAGATCTACTGAGCTTCAGGAGAGTAGATAAGGAAAGATTTTATAAATGTCATAAAAAGCAGTTTTGAGAACAAAACCAATTAGCAACTAAGAAGTCCCTTGCTAGACTTTTAATAGAAAAGGATGAAGATCCACCTATCATGGATAGATTTCCTGCATCAAGCTTGAGATTGAAACATAAGGCCTCAAGCATAACCTTGAGACTGAAATACAAGGCCCCAACTCTGATTCCAGATCTGATGAAATGAAAAGAATACCCCTGGGTTTCATCCTCTTTTTTAACACACATTTATCCTTGGTCTGCATTTTCACTTAACCCAGAAGGTCTACAAGAGCATTTTTAACTTGGCTAAGAAACTGGGAAGAATTGTCTGGAAAAGGCAAGATATAGAAGAGCTGTAAGAAAAAAAAAGGATCTTTTCTGATATTTGGTATACAATGTGCAATATCAAAAGGCTGAAATTTGCACCATATTTCATAGTGTATTATTACAGCAAACGTAATTTACTCTGTGTTAAAATTATAGATTGATTTATTTTCAAATCATGTCTCTATCCTTCCCTCTGCAGGTTTAATAGACAGTGTGTTGTAGACAAGGACAAAAGGAACCAGTGTCGATATTGTAGGCTAAAAAAATGTTTCCGAGCAGGAATGAAGAAAGAAGGTAAGATCCTTTCAGGAATCATCAACCGAGTTTGTTTGTTCATTGTGTAACTATGCTATAAACAGTTTTGAAGACTGCTGTGTAGTTTATCAGATTCTATATAGAAGGTAGCCATTTCCCCCTTCCACATCTGACAGGAGCTTGGATGATATATCTGAGAATGAGCATGAAATAATAATTAAAGTGTTGGACTTGAGTTGGAAAGATTTAGGTTTAAGTCACTACTTGAACATAGGTTCACTGAATAACTTCCTCAAGCCAATCTATTTGCTGAGATTGTTGAGAAGATAAAAAGAGGGAAGTCTCCTATAAGTACTGCCATGTGGTTAAAAAGAAAGGCAAGACATACTGTTTGCTAGACAGTATGGGGGAGTATCTTAGTGAATCTTAAATGATGTATCACAGGCAACATAGACAGATAATCTGTTTAATTGAGGTAGATGGATTTATAACTATGACCAGCAGAAACATAATCCAAGATATCAAAGCAATTATGACAATGGTGGTTCTGCATTTCTTCTGGAAATTCAAATATCCCCTTTTCTCTGCCTCTGAAAATGTAGATAAGAGAGTTTTTTTTTTCCAGTTTTGCTGTCAGAGACCATAATACCATTGGGAGGGACTATCTGGATAGAACACAATTAATAGCTGTTGTTTGCCATCTGAATTATTGTCTGGGAAAAATAGGAATAGGGAAACAAATCATTCAGATTTCCAAAAAGTAACTGATCATTATTATTGCATCACAAATCTACAAAGTGCTTTGATTCGTTGGAACACAACATCCAAAGTAGACGAGGACAGGTTTTTTTTGCAGTAAAGTTCACATGAACAGTAGTGTCAAATCACAAATTGGCAGTTCTCATACACATATACGTGCACCTAGAAATACAAAGGTTGTCATTGTTGGAATGGCTATGATGGATCTTAAGAAGACATTGCTGGAATATCTCTCTCGGTAATCCTAAATTTGATTCTTTTCCTCTTGATTTGCAATTTACCTGCATTAAGATTGTTAGAAAGTGGCACACCTCTCTACCTCTTCCAGCCAAGGGTGCTGGCAGTAGCAATGGCAATGGCAATAGAACAGGAAATGGATAGGCTTGGAAATTTGGGGCACCTGTAATAAGCCACCATCAGCAACAACAAAATAATAAAACTTCAGAAGCTGCAAATAGGTTTACACTGTTTATCCTGGTATAAATGCTTAATATGAATGATGATTTAGAACAGAAACAAGGAAGCATTTCATACATAGTTAACTTATGAAATTTGCTGCCAGTCCATGGATTTATGGCTGCTATTTTAGTTTGCTTTAAAGGCAAGCTCAGGCTCACTCTGTGTTCCCTCCAGGATTAAAGGCAGTCTGCCTCTGAATTGACAGTTATAAGGAGGAAAGTGGTGAAATAGAGGCTCCCATTTTCTGACTTAGTACATCCTTAGGCCTATAGTTAGTTACTGTGAAACAGGATGCTGTTCTTCATATTCTTACTTATGGATGTGCCAAACCACATCTGATGAAGTGGATTCTTGTCCACAAAGCTTGTGTGCTAGTCCTTGTGTGATCCTTTAAAATGCCACAAAATAGATTATTTCCTGGGATGAGAGTTTAGTAGGCAACTGTGCTTTTTCAATTGTGTCTCACTGTTCTTTAGGGCTGGTGGAAACCAGCCATAATGAGGGAGCTGTCCACCTTATGCTACAATAAAACTTTCCACTTTTAAGTGGCAATAAGACTTTGGGTTGGCTTTGATGCATCCTGTCATGATAGCTAATGCTTAGATGTTACCAATACTTAACATCAGTAGCCGAAGAACAAGTGTTCCTAAAAATGTGGCTCCATTTTGCTTGGATAGTGAAATCCTCATATCTGTCCAGAATGCCTGCTCAACTTGTATTTTCCTGTTAATATTCAATAGAAGTTACATTGGGTCCATGACCAGCTAAATACTAAGTAAACATTTAGGATACATCATGCTGTGACTGAGCTCCTGGGTTCCTGATAACACACAGCATAACCTTGAGTCCTCCTATTAATAGCTGCTGACTGCAGAGTTTTCATTTCAGTATAGCCTCATTATAACTCTGTTATTGAGCTGATTGGAAAATAAATCTGAGAGGCACTGCTTGTAACAGTAACAATCAGATATCGCTTAAGAGAGATATTCTTGTGATTAGTCCGAGAGAGAGAGTGAAAGTATCTGATTACTAGAACTGATAACTTAGGTACTTCTTGGACTTGTTAAGAGTAATCTCTTCCTGGGCCTTAGCCAAGTAATCATAGCCGATCACAAGCCTGATCAGGAAATATTAGAATACATTTTCCCTGGGTATGAAAAGGAACACCTCAAATGTCAAACTATTGAAACACCTTTCCCACTATATTTTTAAAAATCTTTCTAATTAATTTATAATTTTGCTCTGACTGATGAAGTTGCTTGGATAAGCAACAAAATGTCTCAGTTTAACAAAGTTCAGTCCAGTTGCCATGATTCAACCTTTAGACACCTTTGGCCTGAATGACTGCATCTTCATTGATATACTTCTCCACTATAATTGAAGCCTAACATGTTTAAATATCTATTAATGTTAACTAAACTGCAAACAAAAAGACTCAGAGGAGCAATGATAGATTTTTTAAAAATATTTTATGTAGAATAGCATAAACATTGCTCGTTTTTAATTAAAATACAACGCTAACGGACAACAACAAAAACTCTTCCTAGCTTCTCAGTGCAGTAGCAGCTTGGGAAACAGGTAGAAGATTAAATTCATCCCACACTGCTACAGATTTACCCCTCAAAGTCATGGCATTGGTGGCATCAAGGAAAACTGTATTAGTGAAGCTGAGAAGGATTTTTTTCTCCTTTGGGTGACAGGTCAAGAGATTAAAATGTAAAAAAAAAAACCAACCCAGTTTATTACAATTGAATTTCCTTCTTGAAAGTGCACAATAGCATATAGAGAATATAATATATGTCTACTTAATTAGCTATTATCTTGTATCATTTAATTACTCAGCTCAAATCTATGTGGTAGTTCAGATCAATGTCATTATCATCAGCAACAGCAGCAATGTACCGTATGTTCATTGCTTTTTTATTGGGTGAAATCCAATTTTGAATAAAACTTCCATTAAGCCTGTTGTTTCCCTTCCATCCTCATTTCCCCTATACCTGCTCTGATAGGGCTTCCATCCTTCCAGTCAAAACAATGGGGGGAAAAATAGCCTCTTTCCCTATTCTTATACATTTACTGTTTTTTTCCCATGGGAGTGAACCTGCTTGGATTCAAAGTTTTATCTTTCAAATGTAGACTATACTATAAAAAGTGCAAAATGTCATTCATGTTCCTATTGATAATATAAATGGCTTAGGTAGCTTTAATGTTGGGTTTTTATTTCAGCTGTACAAAATGAGCGCGATCGAATCAGCACTCGGCGGTCTAGCTATGAAGACAGTAGCTTACCTTCCATTAATGTTTTATTGCAAGCAGAAGTCCTTTCACAACAGGTACTTGTTTCTGTTTTGGAAAGAATTAGTATAAGCATGATTAGAAGGCTCCCATATTCCACTGTTATATCAGTGCACATCTTAACCTGGAAAGCATGTCTATAAATATTGAATGATGCTTCTCCAAGTACACGTATATAGAGGGATTTATTTTGGAATAAACGTACAGAAGTTTCAATAGAAGAGAATATACGTAGCTCAGGGTTGAACGGTGGAGTCTGTGGTGCTCTCTGAGCTTGGTTATTTGCTTGCGGATGTTTCACTATCCAACTATGTAACATCATCAGTGCTAGCAAGTGAGGAGTTTGTTCCTTGTTTATATACAGTAGCTTTCCCTGCAAGTGTTGGTGGGGGTATGATTTTAAAATTCTCAGTCCACTGTAAAAGCACCTTAATTTCTTCTTTAACTGTTCTAGTTTCAAGGTAATGCTTTTCCTCTTCTCCCACACACATTTATTAAAAATGCAATCTATGATGCTTTATTGACAATACTGCAAAGATAAGGTCAGAGCAAGGAACTGCCTATTAGGTATTATATGTTTCTCTCCTTCTCTCCAGTCACTGGATAACTGGGTATTACCCTCCATGGCCATTTTGTCTTAAGCTGCAGGAGAGACCAGACAACCTCAATATATGGAGTTAGCTGACTGCATAATGTCTGATTAGGGAGAACAATTGGCAGATTTCTTTCCTGCCAGCATATTACGTTGGATGCAACAGCAAATTCAACTGGCAGCCTCCAATAATAGCTGTCCTTAACTTGTTCCAAATGGCTTTATTACTCGGACTCAGCAGTCAGGGCAGAGCAGTTTATGCCACAGAATCAAGTTTTGGAGGAATGCTTGTTAACATGGCCATGAGCAAAAGCCCTACCTCTATTGTTAATGAAGTCATAACACCATTGCAACCACATTTTACATAACAATTATAAATGTTATTCTCTGGGTACAAAATATTGTATCTTTGCCTAGTGAAAAAAAAATTGCACTAGGACTATAACCTTAAGAGAAAATGCTTAGGTTATACATAGTTGTAACCAAATAAGCTACATCTATGAAAGTAGTGCATTAAATGTTAAAAGAGGTCTTGATAATAAGAGTGCATACTGTTAAAAAAAATGCATTCTCACCAATCCAAATCAGTTACTCAGGACTGATATTTATGATTGTTTAATTGTTTAGAGGGAAATAGATTTGTACCACCTTCAAAATGATTTTGAGGGTTCACATTAAGCTTGGCTTCCTTTCATCTTTCTATTAATAATATTAGATGGAACTCTTCTCGTTTTGCAGATATCATCACCAATGTCAGGTATTAGCGGAGATATCAGAGGGAAAAAGATTGCAAATATTGCAGATGTGTGTGAGTCCATGAAGCAGCAGTTATTAGTGCTTGTGGAATGGGCCAAATATATCCCAGCCTTCTGTGAGCTTCCCCTGGATGATCAAGTGAGCCACATTTTTGCACTCTTATTCTAATGAAACTGTTGCTTCCATGTTCCATTTTCAAAACTGTAATACTGTAATTCTTTTGAGCTACATATCTGATGATCAGGCTTTACAGTTTCTATTCACTATTGTTTGTTGACATACAGTATTGTAATGCTGAATAGGTTGACAGTAATAATGGTAATCCTTAGGAAAGGCTTGGTAGTTGAATAAAAATGCCAAATCCTGACTAAACATGGCTGACTGTGCAACTAACCACAATAATAATATCTGAAAACATCTGGAGCACCACTAGAACACCATTGGCATTGACAAAATCATCATCAGTCAATTGCAAAAGGCAACTTTACTAGGAATAACTTACATCCTACAATGATATCTTTAAAACCGTCAAACATTTGGAACCTTCTTGTAATGCCAAAGGGATAGAAATAAATGTTGATTGAATCCTCATGTATGTTTTCTTCTTTTAAAATTATTAAAATTCCACCTTCAGTCAATCACAAAAATATCTTAAAAAATGCTATCCTCCCAAACAAAATAAAAAAATAATAGAACAAGCATTTTGCCAGTGTTTCTTGAGTAAACAGTGAGATTAATCTTCTAACTCTTCTGCTTTCTATATTGAACTGAATTTGTTGGGTGCCATGCATTTTTCCTAGCTCCTCACTCCATGATTCTGTGCTTATGGTTGGATGATTGTCACACATCTGAATTCCACAGTACTAGTAATATTCTAAAAACTCCTCCCATGTAGACACACATTTGATCAATTCATGTATAATGGAACATTTGCACCCCATTACTTTTTCCTTGTTACTATTTTTGTTACAGAATCACTTACTCAGTCCATTATTTTTCTAAGATTCTTTTAGCATTAGGATAATATTATCAGACAAATGCACCATACTCCACTTTGCCTCACACTTAAAACCGATGCCTCTGGAAAATAGCACTCTCTTCAGCTCTTTCATTACATGATATTTCTACATGTTTGTTCAGTGCTTACATGTTGGCCCATCCCCATAAAGACAATCTTTCCCAAATCCTCCAGTTAATGTTTAGAGACTGTTTGCTGAAAAGCTGAAGTCCCAGTTGGACATTAAAAAGCATCCATGTCATACTGCGTCTTGGTGTTAACCTTTGTTTCTAAAGACTTCTTTAAAAAAAAGATGTGAAACGGGAGATTCAGAACATTCTTGAGGCTCATTGAAGGGTATAAAGTGACACAATGCAATCATTAACAACATAGCAAGCAGGGTTTTTTAAAAAAAGAAAACGCTGCCTGTCCCTCACTATAGAAAATTTTTTAAAGGCATTAAAAAAATTTAATTGTACCGGGGCAAGAATGCTAACTCTATTCCTAACAGATCAGAATGTGAGTAAGTGTTCCATGTTGCACTGGTCAGGCCACACTTGAAATACCGATTCCAGTTTTGGTCACCACAGTGGAAGAATGCTGAAAAACTAGAAAGAGTAGAAAGAGCAGTAAAGATGGTAAGGAGCTTGAAGGCTAAATCCTATGAAGGTTAAAAGAGTTGGGTATGTTTAGCCTAAACAAGGCTAAACATGATACCAATCATCCAATACTTGAAGAGTTGTCATGAGGAAGAGGCTGTGGATTTATTATTCATAGTACCTGAAGCAAGAACCAGTGGGTAGAAGCTTTACAAAAAGAGACCAAAAATCTAAATAAAGAGGAATTTCCTGATACTGTAATGTATTAAGCAGTGGACCCATCTGCCTCTTGAAGTTATGGAGCTCCATCACTGGAGCTTTTCAAGCAAAGAATGGGCAGTTATTATGGGGACCAATGTGCTTTTACTTGTTTATTAATTCAGCGCAGTGCATCCTTAACTAGGAACAGTGCATCCACCTAATATCCTGACCAATAGTCAGAGGGGAATTAACTGTTCTGGAAAATATTGTTCGCAGCAGTCTTAGATCTGTGGAAGTGACTCCTGTAATTCAGAACACCATTTAACTATTTAGTCTTATATTCCAGCTATAATCCAAGATGGATGATGATGGTGGTGTTGATGATTATGACAATTCTTGGAGTCAATGTTGACTCCTGGCAACTGCCTAGACAAATCTCAGCAGTTTTCTGGGCAAAATACCATATTTTTCCATGTATAAGATGCTATTTTTTCCTGCAAACACCCTGTTCAAAAATCAGGTGCGTCTTATACAAGCACAGCATCTTATACACGGAAAAAATAATGGTAACCTCCGCAGCCCAGGGCATGCCTGTGTGGGTTGCCATGCCACCTGGTGCAGGTGTCTAGCCCCTGTAGGCTTGCCACTAACGGGAGGGGGGAGAGGGCAAGATCATCAGCTGGTCGAACTTCTGGATTTGCCGGCTCAGCTGTTCGGCGCTCTGCTGAACAGCTGATCGGCGCGGAGAAACTCGCATGCCAGAGTGTCTTATACAAGTGTGCGTCTTATAGACAGAAAAATATGGTATTTTCAGAAGACAATTACCGTTGTCTCCTTTCTAGGGTTGAGAGAGATTGACTGATCCAGTTATCCAACTAGCCTGGTGCCTTAACCACTATAGCAAAATGACAGTCATAGCTGAATAAATACAGTTTTTATTTATTCATTTACTTATTTACTTACTTACTTATCAAATTTATTGGTCACCCATCTTACCACAGGGTAGCTTTGCAATACTCTCTGGTAATTTACTTTTTGGTAATTTCCAATATAACTGAGACTGCCTTTAAAATTAATGAAGAAACTTCAGGTAATTCAACAATGGAACAATCTTCACCTAGAGTTAGTGAGTTCTTCTCCATTCGAAATGTTTAAACAAAGGCTGGGATGCAGTAGATACTTACAATGGACTTTAAGTTGGCTTAACTTATTTCCAAGATTCTACATTTTAGGATCTCTGACTATATTGCATAGTTACTTTGCCATTTGCAGTGACTGTCGGTCTACTTCTACTCAAGTTCTGGTATTAATCCGTAAAGCTCTAAACACCTGAAGGCTATAGTACTCAAAGAAGCATATCCACACATATGTATTCTTTGGCCAGGACCTTACATTCCCACCCAGTACTTCTATCCTATGAAGCAAAGCCAGTGGCTATTAGAGAAAGGGTCTTTCTGGCTGTTGTGCCCCAGCTCTGAAAAAGCACCACCCCTTCCCCATTTGTGTTTTGATGTTGGTTTTGACTCCAGACATTTAAAGAGCCATTTTGGAGTTTTAGAACATTAATGCTTTGTTGCTATTTTATTGTTATTTGTATTCTTCCTTCTGATTTTTATCATATCAGTTTGAATTTTTTGCTGCCTTATATATTTTTATAGTCACTCTCTTCCCTCACTCCAGCCAAGCCTGGGAAGCATGCATGCTCTGAGTAAATAATAATAAAAAAATCCTATTCCTCCCTCAAATGCACCAGCCAAAATAAACACAGTTGCTTTGGGGGTTGTGAATACAAGGGCTCAGCTCATTCTGTGTTCTCTCCAATAATATGGTTCTCAACGGGAAGATGCTTTTCTGTGGTCCTCCTTGGGGGGGCACCCCTTAGCTTTCTGCCATACTCAATATGTCTTCCTCTATCAGCCAGTAACAGTAGATCTTTGTTCTTTTGTTCCTGCAGGTGGCTTTGCTACGGGCGCACGCAGGGGAACATCTCTTATTGGGGGCAGCCAAACGCTCGATGGTGTTCAAAGACATCCTTCTGCTAGGTAAAGAGCTTCTCCCATCAAAAGTTCAGTAGATTTTTCAATGTGGGGGGGGGGGTTAAAAAACAAAACAGGTGCTGGCATTTGTTGGACTTCTTGTAGTGCAATCTTGTATGTTTACTTGGCAATGTCCAACTTGCTAAAAGGGAATTATATCTAGTGAGCATGTATAGTAATGTTTCCAACCTCAGCAATTTCCAAGATTTGTGGACTTCAACTCCCAGAATTCCTCAGCCAGCTGGGAGTTGACGTCCAATCTCTTGGCGTTGCTGAGATTGGCACACAGTGGTTTACGGGATTGTACCTGTCATCTTCTATTTGTTTTCACATATCTATTTTAATGTGTTTAGAGATAGGCAATGATTTTAAAAGAGTAACATCTACATTGAGAGAGGTATTACTTTCTGTTCCTTTGTCCTGCTGTCATCTCTGACTTTACATTTTCTGAAGCAAGATAGCAGCTTGTTTATAGAAGTGATAGAAGGCTATATGTGTGTGGAATTGATTCCTGTTCTCCATCTTCTGCTGTTTAAAAACAAATACCCAGCCTCTTTTTCCACCTTGATGTCTACCTGTATGAATGGTCTTCCTCAATGGAATATGAGATCCAGATGCCGTTTTCTTTAACTTTTGATACTTTTGAGTTTTCCTGGTATTTTTCCTAATGAGAAAGTGGATTGATTGAACAATTTCTTTAGCTTGCTAATATGCTACTAGGAGCTGTCTTATCTCAGAGGCCCAGCATTTAAAAATTGTTTTGTGGCGGAATTAAGAACTCGAGAAACAATTCCAATTTTCTTTGGGAAAACCACTTATTGGTCAGAAAGGTTGATGGGTAACAAATATAACACAAGCATTCTTAAGCTCTACAGGTAGTCCTCAACTTATGACCACAATTGAGTCCAAAATTTCCATTGCTCAGCAAGGCAATTATTAAGAGAGTTTTGCTCCATTTTACAATCTTTTTTTGCCACGTTGGTAAGACAATCACTGCAGTTCTTAAGTGAATCATGCAGTTATTAAGCGAATCTGACTTCCCCCATTGACTTTGCTGGACAGAAACCAGCTGGGAAGGCTACATATGGTGATCACATGACCCCAGAACAGTACAACTGTCATAAGTACATGCCAGTTGCTAAGTGCCCAGATTTTGACCATGTGATTGTAGGGATACTGCAACGGTCATAAGTGACTTTTTCCCATTGCTGATGTAACTTTGAACGATCACTAAATGAATGGTTATAACTCAAGGACTACCTGTAGTTTACAATGATACCTGCATGTCAGCAGAACAGTTCTACAAGGACCTTGTAGAATATAAAAAAAGTGATGTGCTACAGTTATCTAATTAATTAATTATTGTGGTTTTGGTGGAGAGGAACTGATCCCCTATGACAGGTACTCTAATTTTAAATAGCTAGATAAGGAAAAGAAAATATTTCCACCAGCTTAAACATTGAACTGACAATGATTTTTAGATGGAAAGAAAAAAAAGATCAATGGTTGTTATATTGAAAGATAGCAAATTATAGAATAAATGTTCTGTATGGAAAGAATGAAGCAGTTTGATTGAATGAGAATTTAAATAACTCCATTTTCCTGCAGGAAATGACCACATAATCCCCCGAAACTGCCCAGAATTGCTGGAAATCAGCCGTGTAGCTGTGCGAATTCTTGATGAGCTGGTGTTAACATTTCAAGAGCTGCAGATTGATGATAATGAATATGCTTGTCTGAAAGCCATTATTTTCTTTGATCCAGGTAGATACTGTTTTTGAATAATTGGAAAAGGAATATAAGGATACTTCCTATAAAACTGTAGTCCCATAGCATTGCTGAGGAATTTATTGCTTCAAACCAAGTCCTTAATACTATTTTGCTATTTCATTCAGCAATACTTGAACTCCAGAGTCAAAGTTCCCCAAAGGTTCTCAAAGTATGGTCCGAAGACTCTTTCAGAATGTCAAATAAAAGTTAATGGNACAATGTTATATCCCATCCCCCCACCCCCCGGACTTCCCAAACCAACCTAGGCTGATATTCAAATACAAGTAAACAAATATTAATATCTCTAACTCCAAAGTCTAAACTTAAACAATCCATCTCCTCCGTATTAATAAAAATTATTCATTTAGTTAGTTCTTCAAATATCCAAAATCTTTACCATTTCAGCAAGATATTGAAAAAAAAAAAAAAACATTGAGAAGAAAACAGTATATAGGTAGTCCTCAATCAACTGCATTTGGGACCAGCAACTCTGTCACTAAGCAATGCAGTCAAAAAGTGAAATGTCATATGACAGCGCCTGACATACAATGTTAGTTCATCAGTTCTGGCTGCATTCATTAAGCAAATCACCGCAAGTCGTTATCATAATCTCACATGGCTATATCTTGTGAATTCCTGTCAGCTTCCCCACTGACTTTATTTGTTAGAAGCCAGTTTGAAAGTTGCAAATGGTGAACATGTGACCACAGGATGCTGTAACCATCATAAATGCATGCGAAGCACCCAAAATTGCAATGATGCGGATGTTTTGATGGCCACAATTTCAAAGATTAGTGACAAGTCTCCTTTTGTCACAGCTTGAACACAGCTGAACAAGTGATCAGTAAGAGAGGACTACATGGAATTAAAATCTCTCAACTTCTACCAAAATAGAAACTCAAAGATAATCAAGTAGACTATTTGAAAGAACAATTAATAGGCATTTCATTGCTGACTCCCCTGTCTATGATCAAGAGCAAGTAATAAGCCTCAGCAGCACTTTGTATTAATCACACTAAACACTTGCATACTATTTCATTTTAATTGTCACCAATTAGGTCTGGAAAAATGTGGGAGAAAATATAAAGAACACTGACCTGGCATTTTCATGCCAAAATGCCAGAGAGAGAAAAAATCACAATTCTAAAAAAAAAAAATCCAGTGACACAATAATCCTGTTTCACAGCTTAATCCAAACCTAATCTACGTTGCATTGGTTTTATTCTGTCAGACCCCAATAAATGTTACATGCAAAGGAAAAATGTTTCATGGCTGATGCAGGCTTTAGCCCTTCCCCAGGACAGTTATATGACCAGGTTGTTACAGAAGACGCAAAAAATGTTTCTTCAGTGTTGTGTTTGGTGGTGCTGTTTCATAAACTGGAGTTGCTTATGAAAGTTGTTTCATAAACTGTAGTGCCCCTGTATTAATTTTGGCCAGACCTTATACCTGTGAAGTCAAACACTTTGGGGTCTACCTCCCTCACTCCTCACAATTGTCCATGCCCAACTGGAGCTGATGGACATTGGAGACAAAGGCCATAACAAGGTCCAGAGTTCCCCAGCATTTGCCTTATGTAATCTGGGATCATGCAAAACATTTGCAGGGCAGAATATGGGAATAATGCACCCCCAGCCTTTTTAGTCTCTAGTTCAGTGGCAGAACGCATGTAGAAGTCCCAGACTCAAACTCTTTCAACTTCAAATGTTCTAGGGAAATTCCTGCCAGAAACTTTGGATTGCTGCTTCCAGTCAGGGTCAGCAATATTGGGCTAGATGGATTAGTAACCTAAACCATTTAAGTTACTAGCTAATAACTTTCCTTTAAAAAAAAAAAACATTCTACAAGAAACAACCCTAGATTATTTGAAACAGGGCTACTCACTCTTTCCAATACCTCTGTCCTTCAAAATTGGCATAATGTATAATATCTCACCTTTTATTCCAGATGCAAAAGGCCTAAGTGACCCTATCAAGATCAAACGAATGCGATATCAAGTCCAGGTCAGCCTGGAGGACTACATCAATGACCGGCAATATGACTCACGAGGACGCTTTGGGGAGCTGTTACTTCTCCTGCCCACCCTCCAGAGCATTACGTGGCAGATGATTGAGCAAATCCAATTTGTTAAACTGTTTGGCATGGCCAAAATTGACAACCTGCTGCAAGAGATGCTGCTTGGAGGTGAATATTGTCGCAGAAACCTTCCTGAAATTGGGCATCAGGACTTTTGCCCCTAGAATGAAAGACAAGTGCAGAATAAACAGTACCATGAATCTCACTTCAGTTAGAGAAGAAAGAAAGATAAAATCAATGATACATTTTGCTTGAGAGTTTGATCTTCCACCTGAAGCAAGATTTCTGTTAATCCTTTTTTTTAATTTAGTGGCCATACTTTGCAATTCATGTACAGTAAAGGGATCATTTTTTTAATAAGAAGGAATACTTTTTTTCAGACTGTTTCCAAAATTTTGGTTGCCTACTTGAAAAAATGACACATTAAGAAATTCTTACTCAACAGACTTCAAATTTTTTATCAGGCAATGAACATTTTGGCTTGCTCAGTTTCATTAAAAACAAGAAATCTGTGTCTGTAGCTCAGCCAAGGATATGGTAGAGCCCAGACCAGTGGTGGCGAACCTATGGCACGGGTGCCAGAGGCGGCACTCAGAGCCCTCTCTGTGGGCACGCGCACCGTCGCCCCAGTCCTAGGCCTTCAGCTAGGTTTTATAAAACCTTTTTGCTTTAGGCTTCCGCCACCGTGTACAAAAAAAAAAGGTTCACTCAATCAGTCAATTTCAACTTCTTGCAGGAAAAAAAATAGATCTCGCAAAGTTGGAATTGATTGATTGAACTTTTTAATCCCACCCAGTCTGCTGTTACCACCGCAGCCATGACCACCCAATGGGCCACGCCCACCCGGCACCCGACGATGCATAAGTGGGTTTTGGGTTGCAGTTTGGGCACTCGGTCTCTAAAAGGTTCGCCATCACTGGCCCAGACCAAACTTTGCTCAATTAGCACCTTCCAGATATATTGGAATTACAGACTATGTGGGAGTGTCAGATTCTTTACAGTAAAGAACATGGTAAAAATGAGTGTCTTCAGCCTCTACAAAGCAGCTGAAGAACAGCTAAGGAAGGATATGGCTTGAAGTAGAAAAAGTGGGGGGGTCACAATAAGGGGGACTTGGACATTTCTTATTCCTTTCCAGATATTGAAAAGCTGTAGCCCAGCTTTCCCTCAAATTATAATTGCCCAGGATACATTTTTTTAATTAGTTTTATTCATTTATAAAATGTGAAAATACAAAAGCAAATAGGGGATAACAGCAGAGAAAAGGAAAACAAAAAAGGTGTGAAGAAAGGGAGGGGAAGAAACAAAAGGCATTGACTTCCGACTCTCTCTGTTGCAGTAAAATCAGACATTAAAATCAAATCTCAACTTTTTACATTTCTATAGTAGTATGCACTAGCCATTTCTCTATTGGCAAATCAGTCTAATCGGTAAAACCCAAAATCATGATATCATTTTTTTCCACCTCAAGCACAAAGTCCAGAAGCGGTTTCCAAATAGAAATAAAACTATTTATGTTCTTTTCTTTTATCAGCACAGTCAATTTGGCCATCTCTGCTAATTCCATCAGCTTTTGTAACCATTCGTCCATGGTAGAAATTGAGGCATCCTTCCACTTTTGTGCATAGAGCAATCTTGCTGCTGTCACCATATATAAAATCAGAGTTCCAAATTTTTTTTCCAGTTCTCTTTCCATTAGGATACATTCTTAGATTACATGCTGTAAACATAAACTATTGAATTTTTTCCCACGATATAATTGAGTAAAATGGGTAACAACAGTATTTGATTAGTTAGGATTAATTAATTTTAATTCTTCCAAAATGCATCTCTGTGATTTGGGCTTCACCAGTTCATGCTTCCACTATTAATCAACAGAATAATTTAAGTCTAGAATGGAAAGTCAGGAGGTAAAACCTTACCTATTCCCTATCCAAATGGTTATTGACACCAAGATCATTTCAAAGATTAAAATGGAATATACTTTTTTACACCGAATATTGTCCAATCCTTAGATTCTTATTAACTGTTTTAGGGTCATCAAGTGACACACCTCATGCTCACCATCATCCTCTGCATCCCCACCTTATCCAGGAGAATTTGGGAACAAATGTCATTGTGGCCAACACAATGCCTCCTCAAATCCATAATGGACAGTTGTGTAAGTATTCACACTTAAAAGATCCCTCTGTCTAAGAATGCTATATTTGTTCTTAGCTACAGTAAGCCAGCTTTTGGCAAAATGATGTCTCCCAATTATGTTTAATTTCTATAGACCAAACTGAATAATAATTGTGGGAAATGAAATTATAACATTTCTGAAAGATATCGTCTGGAAGAAAAATACTCTATTTACAGCTCATCATAAATACTAAAAACATAAAATGTATTATTTTATTATTTATTTGAGGGCTACATGCTGTTGCTGTTTCCATAAGAAAAGTGCCCACAGACTTTCTCCCATTCCTTATCAAAAAAAACAGGAGGCCATGGTAGTCTTGCTCACTTTTTTCAGATTTTTTTTATCCCACCTTTATTATTTTTTATAAATAACTCAAGGTGGCAAACGTATCTACTGCTCCTTTTTCCTCCTAGTTTTTCCACAACAACTCTGTGAAATTAGTTGGGCTGGGAAAGAGTAACTGGCCCCAAATCAAGCCACCTTTCATCCCTAAGGTGGGACTAGAACTCACAGTCTCCTGGTTTCTAGCCTGGTGACTTAACTGCTAGATCAAACTAGCTCTTTGATCAATTTGCTCTCTATAATCAATATGCCTACAATTTATGCCTCTGTAGAGATTAAGGGAAGTTAAGAGGACTGAAGCATCCTTTAATGCTTTGCTGATCAAAAGACCCTGAGGGTACTTTAATTCTGCCCTCAGCTAAATCAGAGGCATGCGTAGTTCTTGCTTGCTAGAGATAAAAATTAAAACACCCAAACTAAGTTGATCTGCTTTTATTCTTTGTCAAAAATATTAAATGTATAGAAATTTAAACAATGCTACCTCTGCCGTTTCCATCTACTGTAGACCTCATGGCTGAAATGCCAGCTTATTTTTGGATTTTTTCCTTCTTGCAATATCTCGTATGATGAATAATCCTGAAGAACTTAAAAGCTAGCACACTTTTCCCTGCAATTTTCATTGCAATAAAGATAGTGTTATATTATGTACAATAAGTTAGATTTCCCCCCCCCCCATGATTGGTACATTGCAGAATGTACTTCTGAATTAACAAATACAAGAAATGTGTACAGGTAGTCCTTGACTTTCAACAGTTCATTTAGTAATTTAGTTACAATAACAGTGAAAAGTGACTTATGACTGTTTTTCATACTTATGACCATTGCAGCATCCCCATGGTCAACTGATCAAAATTCAGATATTTGGCAACTGGCTTGTATTTATGACGGTTGCAATGTCCCAGGGTCACATGATTCCTTTTTACGACCTTCTGATAAGCAAAGTCAATGGGGAAGCCAGAGTCACTTAACAACCATGTTACTTCACTTAACAACTGCAGAGATTCAATTAACAACTGTGGCAAGAAAGGTCGTAAAATGGGGCAAAATTCACTTAACTATCTCACTTAGCAACAGAATATTCGGACTCGGTTGTGGTTGTAAGTCGGGGACTAACTATACATGAAAAATACTTGTGCCTTAATCAAGTCTGTTCAATGGTTTATTTTGTAACAAAGCTTTTCTTCCCATAGCCACTCCTGAAACTCCCCAACCTTCCCCCCCAGCTGGGTCTGGAGCTGAACAATACAAACTACTTCCGGGGGCCATCGCAACTGTAGCCAAGCAGCCCAGTTCAATCCCTCAGCCCACCATCACAAAGCAAGAGGTCATCTAGCATCCAACTGAATGAGGAATCAATGATTCATACACCACAATGTGAAGAAATAAACCTCCCTCGTTCTCATCTCAATCACTCTGGAGGTAGAATATTCATGGAGATTTCCCAGGGCAAAAATGTGCTATTTTTTTTTATTCGGAAATTACATGGGAAAAAATAAGAAGTGATCTTCACATGCAGCTGTGACTGAATGCTGTAGAACTTACAGACTAGCCTCAATGGATGCTTCACCCTTTGCAAAGAGAACCAGATGTCAAACTTTAGATCTGTTGGTGACGGTTCCAAAAATTGCACTGACTTGCCTGTTTTGCCACTGCCTACTTTTCCCCCCTTTCTCTACAAATCTGCCTTCTTCTTTTTTTTTTAAAGAAGGCAGCTGGCAGGAATGATAGAAAGAAACCAAGCCCCGTTATTGGAGCATCTCCAAACAGTCCTTTCTGTGACACTATGGGTTACACATTTATAGGAAGAAGACAAAGATGCTGAGACTCTGAACTCGTTGAAGTTGGAGCATACATACCGTTTGTACTGCCTGCTCAAATGTCTTGGGGAACTCTACAAGTAAAGTATAGGCTCATATGCTTCCACTAGCTCTAACAGTCTGAAGGATGAAAGTCTGCTCTCTTCAAGCACAACTGTTGCATATGCTACTGATATTTTGTCCATCTGGTAGATTAATAGCTTCTATGGAGAAGCCCTCTCATGCTGAACAAAGTATGGCCTTGCTGGATCTAGTTAGGATTCTTTCCATCTAACAATGCACTGTACCTCTTAGCTTCTTTGTTGACTTCAGGATCTATCACTCAAGACCACTGCCTCTGCTTATGGAGATTTTGTGACTAACAGACATTACAAATCATTCCTTCATGTCTTTGTCTAATGTTTTTTGAGAGCACAAGGTTTGTGCCGTTTGCTCTGTGAAAAAACAGGATCCAAATGGAATTTATGATGGAAATCACTAGGGGGGTTGGCAAGGATTGGTGAGAAAGCTTCAGGGAACGTCCTATCAAATGAGCAAAGGGCATTTTGTTCCTTCCTATTTACAATGAGGGGACAATAATGAACCTGCACCTGATCTCAACACTGCCAAACAGGGTGGACAGTAGATGGACCGACTGCACTTCTTCACCAGAATTTGCAGTTTACAGAAATGGATTGTTGGATTGTTATGACATTCACCCAAAGCTTTCTTATAGCTGACAGCTTCCACAGGGGGCAGACAGAAATAGACTTGGAATGATTTCTTCTTTAGTTATCATCACAAACAGGATATGACATTTAGGAGTTAAAGAAGCTGAAAAAGAACTAAAGCCACTCAGATCTTAAGAGCCCCATGATTTGCTTTAGTTTATCTTAGGAGATCAATAATCAAATTATTCTTTAGCCATTTCAGTTTCTTAGAAAATTGTAGGTTTAATTCGCATGACAATTCTAAAGAAGCCATAAGGTGATTTTATCACCCTCCTCGATGTTTACCAGATAAAACTGGACTGGGGATGAATTCAGACTTGCAGAATATCACTGTATATCTTAGCTACTATTCTACCCCCAGATCCACCAATTGAAGCTTAATTCCAAACATATACACTTAGATTAGAAAATCCAGAGCCCTCAAGTTGTTTTGAGTACCAGTGTCAGACTGCTTCAGTTTTTTGGGATTTTTTTTGCACAAAACTACTCCAATCCATTTTATCAACTTGATTTCCTCCAAATTTATTGAGATTGCTACTCCCAGAATTTCTAATCAGTTTTCTGGAAGTTGCCATCCAACATGTCTGGATGGCATCAAGTTGGGGAAGGCACTCCAAAGTTTTATCATTTTAGTAATGTAACAGGAGGGGGTTGTGTGAAAGATGTTTTTTTTTAGTGCCTTCAAGACAGTTTTGATTCCTGGCAACCCCTTAGACAAATTCCTGCAGTTTTCTTTGCAAGATTTTTGGGAAGAGGTTTGCCATTGCATCCTTCCTAGGGCTGAGAGAGATTGGCCCAAGGTCACTAAGGTGGGACTGGAAACACAATCTCCTGATTTCTAGCCTGATGCCTTAATCACATCAAACTGGCTTTGGAAATTACTATTATTCAATGTTTGAAGTTCCAAAATACTGCATATTCCCTTATGCAGAACAGTACACTGGGATTAAGCAGATCCTGACCACACCTCATTGGTGTCCTGTCATCCCAGGTGAGTTGAGAAGTCATTCCATGCTCTACTGATATGCAATACTGTGTTACTTTATAAGGCATCAAACTAATTGTGTATTGAATCAGCTTTCCCTTCCAACTAGTGTCAGCTACCTTGTGTTTGGGCAGTTTTTCCCAGCCCTGATGTCCTTAAATCATCTAGGCCCAAATCCTTCTGCACATGCTCAGGTATATGGTGTTGCCAAAGGTAAACACCTTCTTGAAGCTGGTGATTTCATGAACATATCCATCTACAGTAGTTTTCTATTTTTTCTGCTCCCCCAATGTAGCCTATAGCTTTAATATTGCTTGATGTGCTCCATTCAAACATCAATCAAGCCCACTCTGCTTAGCTTTTCAAGATCAGCTGAGGTCAACTAAGGGCTCCTAAGGATAGATCTCCTTTAGTTCAACTGTATTATGGAAATTTGCTTACAATTCTAATATGTTTTTTGAAGAATTATATAACTCCTCAGAATTGTTGGGAAGACATTGGTAAAGGACATACAGTAGTAGTAAATATTGTTCTTGCTTTTAAAAAGTAGAAGGACAGTTTGGAGAAACACTTATTTATGATGAACACAAATACATTTTGTAGAGTCATCTCTTTGTCAGCATGTAAAGGACAGCCAAAGTAATCCCTGCTAAAAAGGGCTCAAGTCAGATTCTTACTGGAAATAAGCCAATTTACTGCTAATCTACCATCATTTATAGGCTGCTGCTTAAGATCTTTTATGACAGATACAAAAACAAACCCCCTGCCAGCACATAGTCAGTGTCTAAGTATTGTAATGTTTGCCAAACACGAACCTGTTATGCTATGTAATTTATTATAATGATGGGCTGAATAATTTTTCTTTAAATTATTGTGTATATAATATTGATTCCATGAAATCATAACATTTTATATGAACAATGTAAATTACAAGACTGCTTCTCCAACTGCAGCAATGTTTTATGTATCAAGGTTGGAGGAAGTTATTTTTGATGCAGATTTACTACATGCCATCTTCTAGGACAGTATATTAATTTTCATCGACTACTGCCTTCCAATGGAAACAGCTGTATTTCTTTATTCATGTTTTAAAAAAATAAATACAAAAATCTTTTCTAACCATTCACAAACAGATGTTGTTTCTAAGATGAAAGCAAATCAATTAATGTCAAATACAGGGATTTCAGTTCCTTTATATTTCTTTACTGTTAGTCAGTGTAGCATAGTGGAATTATGCAGAAATGAGTTGGATTCATACATATTAAGACTACTTAATTTAGCCATGGTGTTCCAAACAAACCACAGTTGGCTGGAGGCATCCATGGTCAAATCAAAAACATTTTATGGGATAACAAAGTGAGTTGCTCAGCATGTATAAAATGAAGCATAAACTTAAAAAGATCATTTGTGTAATTTACATGTATACATACTCATGTTATTCAAGGCTGTAACATTTGAAATATGTAAACTATACATTCAAAGGTTTTAGGTTAAAAGTCTCAACTGGAATTCTAGTTGATTTCTTGTTTATAAAAAAAAATATGTCACCAATGCTCCAAATAATCAGGTAATAGGTTTTGCAAGCTCTTTCATGGTGTTTTTAATACTAAAGCTGAAGATTCATCACACATTTGCTGTGTTGGAGCACTAGATCCAAATTCTTGTTGTAACACAGACCTGTCTCATTTAAAAGATTTCTCCCTTCATACAATTGATTTTTTCATGGGCAGATTTATAGTGTTTCAGTCAGTTAAAAATCATATGTGGAAGTCTGAGATCCATCTAAGATTTTTAACAGCCTGCAATTGGAATGTGCGTTCAGTCACTCATGCATTGATTACTGCAATGTGCTGTATGTGGGGCTACCCTTGAAGAATATCCAGAAGCTACAATTGGTTCAGAACACAACACAGACAGTTGTGGAGGCCCCTAGTGTAGCTCATGTAACACCACTGTTACCCAAGCTGCATTGGTTGCCCATCTGCTTTCGGGTCTAATTCAAGGTGTTGGTTATTCCCCTTAAAGCCCTTTATGGCATGAGTCCAGGATATCTGAGTAACTTTCTTGCCCTGATGGGAGCGGCCTGCCTCACTTCTTCTGCCAGAAGGGGCCTACTACAGACCCTATTGGCTAAGAAATTTCAGCTGGCAAGGTCTAGGAGAAGAGCCTTCTCTGCTGTGGCTCCTGCCCTGTGGATCATCTTGTTGCCAGAGGTGAGAGCCTCACCCACCTTTCTGATCTTCTAGAAGGGCCTTTAAGCCTGACTTTGCCAGTTAGCATGGGGCCTCAGTGCTTTAGTTGGCTGGTGCAGGGACAGAGAAGCACCATCTCCGCTCCATTTGAGCCTCCGGCTTTTAATCTATATTTGGTTTTTTAAATTTAAATTGTTCCTATGTTTATAATTGTTTTTATATTTCTATTTTATTACATTGTATGCTGCTCAGAGTCATTTGTATAGTGAGATAAGCAGCATATAAAATAAATACATAAATACATAAAATGTATGGGGCTAATTTCTTCAAACTGAGCTAGAACCACTAGATTACAAACGACCACGACTGAGCCCAAAATTTATGTTGCTAAGTGAGACAGTTGTTAAGTGAATTTTGCCCCATTTTACGACTTTTCTTGCCACAATTGTTAAGTGAATCACTGCAGTTAAGATAGTAACATGTTGTTAAGTGAATCTGGCTTCTCCATTGATTTGTTAGGTTACAAAAGCTGATCGTGTAACTCTGGGACACTGCAACTGCCATAAATATGACCCAGTTGCCAAGCATCTGAGTTTGGATCCCATGCTCACAGGGGTGCTGCAATGGTT